GGTGACTGGTTCTCCTTTCTTCTATAACCCACTTAGAAAGCGGTTGTATACAACAGTGTGTCTGTAACAGAGCACTGGGCCCAGAGTGGACAGGAACGTGACATATGTGTAACGTCTTTGCCAGTAATCACACTAGGCAGTGGGTGCAGCAAAGCTGAGCCCCACTAAGGAAATGCGTGCAGGTGGGGAAGCGACACAGCGTGCTGTGAGGTCCCTGCTGGTCCCCCTGGCACTGCATGAACAATGGCGGCAGAGGGGCAGGGAACCCGGCCCAGGACTCAGGTCCGAGCCACCACGGGGGCTGAGCTGCTGGAAGCATCAAGCTGATTGTGGTTAAAATGCTAGACCAGAAAAGAGTCACGGACTTTGTGTGTGGGGGGGTGCAGTCACCTAAGCATCTGGGTCTGGATTTTGGCTCAGGTGGTGACCTCAGGGTCATGAGATCAAGGCCAAGTCGAGCTCTGTGCTCAGCGGGTGATCTGCTCGAGATTCTCTCTCAAGTAATAAATGAATTACTTATTATTATTATTATTATTTAATAATAAATTATCTCTCTCTCCCTCAGCCCCTCCCCCCTCGCATGTGGGTGCTCTCTCAAATAATAAATAAATGAAACTTTAAAAAAAATAGTCACTTAGCATTTAAAAAAAGCAATAAAGGGGGAACAAAGAACAAAAAAGACGTAAGCTGAAACCAAACAGTAAGACTGCAGACGTAAATCCAACTCTAGCAATAAGGACATCGAGCATAGATCGATCCCACGAGCCAGTCAAAAGGCAGAGTCCGTCAAATGGACAAAAGCAAGCAAACAAGCCCCGGCGAGCCAGCCCTGAGCAGGAGACAGGAGGTGCACTTCGGGTTCAAAGGCACAAAGGGACCGGCAGGGAGGAGACAGTGCACCTGACGAAGTGGCCGGACGGGGCCCGCAGAGGCTCATACTGATGTCAGACAAAACAGATTTCAACACAAAGAGTGCATTCAAAGACGAAGGGGGACATTCGATGAAGATGGAAGGGCCAACCTGTCAGAGAGGGGCGGCAGCAGAGCTCCGCTACGTGCGACAAAGCTGAGGGAAAGAAGGGAGGAGCAGGGCGGCCTGCACCAGGAGCCCGGGAGCCAAGAGCCCGCTTCACACGCGGCTGTGGCCCACAGACCCAATGCAGCGAGGGGGCAGGAGACCCGACCCGCCGCACAGGCCAGCAAGCCCCGCAGACATGAGCGCGCGGCACCAAGATAGCAGGATGCGCGCGCTTTTCAAGGCCACAGAAGACACCTAAGGCCATCGCAGCCGGGGCCACGGCTCGTGATGGGGGGGTGGACAGGGCAGACAGGACAGGAGCGTTGCAGGAAGGTTCTGAATATTGGCTAAATACATGTGGAGAGAGAGGACTCCAGGTCCTTGGAGGTGGGCACCAGGAACAGAGACTGGTTTCTGTGAGGAGGTCCCTGCATGTCAGCTCCAGGTGTGGACGGAGGCGGTCATCAGGTGCCACGCTGGGCAGTTTGGCTTTGACCCTGGTGCCCTGGGCAAGTGTCCAGGGAAGGGAAGTGGACCGATTCATTGGTGATTGAGATTTTAGATCTGATGGCGGTGCCCGGACTGGGTGGGCAGGCTGAGTTTGGGCGGGAGACCAACAAGAAAAGGCCTCTGTCATGTCCCAGGGAAAGGGGGGATTACAGAGCTGCTTTGCAAGTCACAGCTGGTATAGACTCCCAGAACCCTGAGTTCCTGGGTCTCTAAGAACACCCTACACCTGGAAGTCTGAATGTGCTGGCACAGGTGTCTAATCAAAGGGAACCCCTTCTCTCTCAACTGCAGTGACCCCTGTGACTTAGCTGCATTGGCGTTTTTAAAAGTCTCAGTAGGGCACTTGAAAGTAAACAACCCTCCTTAGTTCTGATCTCTTAATAAGCCAGTCTCCGCGCTGTCCATTCCCCATGCACACTTCCCGGCATCTCTGATCAGCCTGGGGTGTCCTCCTCGAAGGTTAGACGGTGCTGTGGAGAAGAACCCACACCTGCCCGAGGAGGGAGGCCAGAGGCTCCCTGGTCCTCGTCAGAGAACGTGCAGCCCCTGCTCCTTTCGAGGGCGCACGGGCAAGGACAGAGTCCTCACGCTTCACTGGGGATGTCAGAGGTGATATTCGGGGGCAAGAAGGCACCTGGTTGCCAGCTGCGCAACAGGAAGAGAGTGGGGGAGGGGATGCTGGCTAGAAGACTGTGCCCAAGCTTCCCCAGATCCCAGAGGATGGATTCCCCTGGGGCCAGGTGGGCCCAGCGGCCCGCGGGTCTCCCAGGCTGGAGGCGGGCAGCTCCTGCAGGGCAGCTCTCAGGGGTCCTCCTGACCCCGCCCCGGCGCCGGCATCAGAGGCCCAGGTCTCCTTAGCCCCGATGCTTGAACACAGAACCCAAAGCACGGGGACCGCCCCGGGGCTCCAGAAAAACTGAGCAGGGTGCCCGACACTCCAGGGCCCTCCCGGAGAGGGGATTTGGCTTGCAAAGGGACTTCGAAAACGGTGAGCTTCTCTGGGTGTACTCGCCCCAATAACCCGCAGAAACAACAGTAACCTAAAAATAGTCTTGTTTTCTGTCCTAAGCTCCTTTTAACTTCGTTAGTCATCACCAACCCTTAAAATAAAACCCGTGTAACGTCTCTCCTGGTAGCGCCTGTAAACACACCCCGAGAGGAGGCCGACGACCGAGAGGGGCCGCAGGGGCGCGCAGGGGCCGCGGCCGCGGGACGGAGGCCGGGGGCCCCGCGGTGGCCGGAGGAGCCGCCCGAGGCGGACACGGGGGCGCGCTGGCCGCGGAGCCGCCGCTGCCTCCGGAACTCCCTGCGCCCTGGCGCGCCGCCACCGTGGTCCCGGCAACGGCATTAAACACAGGGAAACAGACGGGGATTCCGTCACCGGGCGGGGGAAGAAGGAGGGCATTGAGCGCGGACAGGAAAAGAGCTTTTCTGGACGGAGTGAAAATTATTTATTAAAGAGGAGGCGCGGGAGGAGGGGGAGGAGGGGAAGAGACGAGGAAATGGAGGAGGAGGGGGAGGAAGAGGAGGGGGTGGGAGGGGAGGCGCGGGAGGAGGTGGAGGCAGAGGAAGGAGATGGAGGAGGGAGGCGGGAGGAGCCGGCGGGCCAGGGGGCTCCAGGTCCAAGCGGCGCGCGTGGCAGTGCGGGAGGCGCACGGGAGGTCACGGGGTCACTCGCCGCCAAGGCCGGCCCGCCCCGCCCCGGCTGCGGGGCCACCGGGACCCGCCGCGGCACGGTCTTTGCAAAGGGCAGGGCGGGGCGGGGCGGAGCGGGGCGGCCCTGGCGCCCCCTGGCGGCCCTCCCCGCCCGCAGGACGCGCGCCCCTCCCCCTCCCAGCCTCAGCGTCTTCGCGGGGGCCCCCCCCAGCCTCGGGCGTCCCGAAGGGGTCCGTCCCCCTCCAGCATCCTCGTGGGGTCCCCTGGTCTCAGCGCCCTCGTGGGGTTCCCTCCTGGGGTCTCCCAGGGCCGGGGGCACCGCGTGGGAGAGCTGCAGGTGGGGTCACCCAGAAGTGTCCCCACAGCCCCCCAGACGCGCGCGAGCGCACGGCCCGCCCCTCCACGCCGCCCGGCCGCACACGCGGGCGGGACGCGGGATCTCGGCCCCGGGTAGCCCTACAGACGGCGCGGGCACGCGGGCGCCGCTTCCGCCGGGCACCGTCCTCGTCCCGCTATTAACGTGGCACCGACGAGCCGGCGAGACCCCGCGGGTGGGTCAACGTCGCACCGCCCCCCCCCAGGTCCCCGGGGCGCGGAGGCATTTGGGGCACCCACTGGAGTCCCGCAGGCGTCCCGGGTCCCCGCGGCAGACACCGCTTCGCCTTTGGGGTCATTTGAAACTACGTGAGGGTGTCGCGCGGCTCATGTGGATTTCCCGGCACCAGGCATCCCCACCGCGCTAACGCTCCAGCCCCCCGCGTCCACGGCCAACGCGAAAATTTGGTCCGGGTTTGGCAGCCGAGCTGCGCCGGGGAGAGGCGGGAGGTTTTGAGAAGAAAGTGTAAAGTGAACCGGCGGCGCTGGGAGGCTTTCCCGAAACCAGCTCCCAGTCTCAGACCCCTCCCCCATGGGTTAGAAACCCCAAAGTCGCGCCTTAAAGTGCCCCTGGCCCTCCCCGACAGCCGGGCCGGCCCTGGGAGGCGGGGGCGCTGCGCCCCTGGTTCTCCCCGACCTCCCCCCGCCAGCTCACGCAACAGGCAATCTGGGTCGCTCAGATATTTAGAGTAAAAAATGACAATAACTCCACGTCCCGGGACTGCCATGCAATCTGTTAGTAATTTAGCGGGATGGGAATTTCCTTTCTCGGGCCTGCCAGTGGAAGCACTTTTCCAAATTTCCACAGCGGGGGAAGCCTGCGCTTTTACATAATTACTTCAGCATGCAGGGCTCTCTCGGCCGCCCTCCTCTCCTGCTCCCTCCGCCCCCTCATTAAAGCAGAGTGGGACTGTCTGAGGACCCGAGCAGGACCCCGGCGTCAGGGACGGTTCCTTCTCCGGGTGCGCCCGGGTCGCACCCCGTGCGTCCCTGCCCTCCGCGTGCGCCCCCGCCGACCCCCGTGCGCCCCTGCCCTCCGCGTGCGCCCCCGGTACCCCCCCGTGCGCCCCCGCCGCCTCTGGTGCGCCCCCGCCGGCACCGTGCGCCCCTGCCCGCCCCCTGTGCGCCCCGCGGGCCAGGCGAACGGCGGCCCGGCGCGGGGAGGGCAGGCGCTCGGCGACTGGTCCTCGGGCCCTGCGCCGGCTCGGGCGGGGGCGTGATGTCACGGCAGGGAGGGGGCGCGGGAGCGGCCCGGCCGGCGGGGAGGCGGGGGAGGTGTTTTCCAGCTTTAAAAAGGCAGGCGGCAGAGCGCGGCCCTGCGTCAGAGCGAGACTTAGAGGACTCCGAACTCGCCGGCACACTCTCCGCGCCGGATCCGGCGGCCGGGCGCGGGCACCCGGGCGCGGGAGCACACCTCCGAGCCCCCGCCACCGCGCCACCCAGCCCGGGTTCCAGGGCCGCAGCCGGGCCCGCCACGCGCGCACACGCCCCTCAATGACATCTCTCCGGGGCGGGCGGCGCTGAGCCGGGCCGGCGAGCGTCCGCGGGGGGAAGAGGTCTGCCTTCCCGGGAGACCCGGCCGGGGCGGCGGCGCCGAGCGCCCGCTCCTCCCGCTCCCCCTCTCGCCCTTCCTGCTCCTCCCGCTCCCCGCCGCCGCCGCCGCCGCGTGGATGCCAAGTACCAGTTTCCCAGTCCCTTCCAAGTTTCCACTCGGCCCTCCGGCTGCGGTCTGCGGGAGCGGAGAAACTTTGGGGCCCGCGCCGCCCTCCGGCGGCACCATGAAGTCGGCGGAGGAAGGTAAGCCGGCGCGGCCGCCCCCCGCCGCGGGCCCCCCCGCGCCCCCAGCCCCGCGCCCGCCGCCCGCGCCCCGCGGGGTCCCCCGGCCCGGGCGGGGCGAGCAGGCGCGGCCGGGGTCCGCTGCCGGGAGGGGCGCGGGCGGGGGGCGCGCGGCGCAGACGGGGAAGCGGTGTCCCCCTGGTGTTTCCCCGGAGCAGCCCTGGCTTCGCGCGCGCCGTCTTGCCAATAGGTGTCTCCTCTCGCCCAGCGCTGAGCGCAGCCTCGCGGCGAGTCCGCGGCAGAAGCTCAGCCCCGGCGCGGGCGGGCAGGGCCGGGTTCGGGCCGCCACGACCACAAGAAGCGCGTTGCGTGAAGTGAGGTTTCCCTGGGAACGGAGCCGCGCCGGCTGCTTCCCTAGTGGGCCAAGGCCACCCTGCGGCTTCGGGGACCAGCCGCAGGACGTGAGGCGGGGGCCCGCGCCCCTTCGGAGCACCACTGGCGGCAGAGCCTCTCCCCTGCCCTGCGCTGCGCCCGCAGGACTAAAGGGCACCCGATGTGCGTCCGACATCCGGACACAGCCCTTCATTCAAGCCATTGCGCAGCCCACCCACGGGAGTTCCAACCGTGGGAAGTGGTTCTGGACGGTGCGAAAAGGGACCTCCGGGTTTATAGTCACGGAGCTGCCTAAGCGCCCGTCCAGAAGCCACTGGGGAGAGGGAGTGGAGGGGGCGCTCACCCCGACGCCCCTGGCGCAGAATGGAGCTTCTCCCGGGTGATCTCCTGCAGGTGTCTGGAAAGGGCCTCCAGAAGGGCCCCCGGCATCCTGTTTAGGGATCAGGATAGCAAGGGCGTCCCGGAAACTGGGAGACACCTTTCCAAACGCCTCTTCAGTGCTGGAGCGTTTCATGTAGACGATTTCCAGAAAGCGGCCAACTTGCCCTGGTGTAGCGAGGACTCGGTTCAGACGGCAGAAGTGCTTCTGAGAAGCAGCGCCTTCAGGCACCAGCCAGAGGCCCCGGCCTGGCCAGAAGCGCTTTCCTCCAGGAAGGTCCTGGTCTCCAACCGGGAGGCACCCTAGGCGGTGCCCTCGGTAAAAGAGATCAGTTATTTTCTGTACCCGTGAAGGAAGAGGTGTGTTCCTCACCATTTCATCCCAGGTTAGGAAATAGTTAAATATAAGCATCAGGTAATATTTATGGGACAAGCTCTTGCTATTAGAACAATTTCTAACAAATGTGCTAAGGTTTTGGTCGTAACTTCTTGGACACCTTTTTCAAAGTCTGCCCACGTGTGTTTTTTTTTAAATGCAGGCCTTTCAGAGTTTCGTTTTCTTGACCTGAGCCGTCGGTGGTCCATCCCGCAGCCCTCTCTTCTTTTTTTTTTTTTTTTTTTTTTCCAACAAGAAACCCCGTCTGTGGGGTGCTGGTGATTCTTCCTGTTTCCTGCTTCAGAAAGTGCATTTGAAAAGGGCCTTTGGGGAGGTAGCACCCCAGGGTGATGGTGCCTCTAAACTCGGTGATCCAGGGGGTGTTCTAGAAGAGCTATAGCGTTAGGCAACCAGAAAGTGCGACGGAATCCTTCCCGGACCCAGGCCGGGGGGATGAGAGGTGCGGGGCTCTGGCGGGTGCTGACGGTCCTCGCCCAGAGGCGAGGGAGGCACAGGCGGCCCCTGTGAGGAGCAGCTCGATGCCCCAGCACTTCCCTCTGGTCTAATGAGCCTCTGCGCTGAACCTCGTTAAGCCCTGTTGTTTCTGAAGGCCCCGTGCCTGTTTTTCCGCGTGGAGAATGCAGGGAAACTCGGTAGCCGCCTACCCACCCACCCCGAGGTTGCTCCACACAGAACGCCCCCGGGCTCTCCGGGGCAGAACAAAGCAGCTCTGTTCTCCCCACACTTCGCTTCGCCGCCTTGTTTCCTAATCCAGATTAGGAGAGGCCCTGGCCCGGCGCTCGGCTCCATCACACCCAGGGCTGGAGCTCGGTGTGCCGCGAGCACGCGCAGCCGGAGAGGAAGCGCCAAGCTGAACATTTCCATCGGGACAGGAGTGTCTGCTGAATTGGCAAATAGCTCCAAACCACGTACCAGTTGAAAGGCATGGCGGGGCGGGTGGAGGGGGGTGTTGCTGGTAAGAGGAGCCTTTAGAAAACCGGCCTGCGCATCTGGCTACTTTGGTTGGGGATCCGAAACTAGGTGGGGGGGCCGCTCAGCTTCGGGCAGAGTGGGGCTGAGTCCCCGTCCCCGTGGCCAGGTGGGAACTGGGTGGACACCTGTGCGTGCGGAAGCGTGAACCCCGTTTCTCTCGCACCTGGACCGAAAAGCTGTCGTCCACGCCGACCGTAAGGCTGGTTGCTTCCATGGACGTTCTCGGTGGGTGTCAGAAGGCGGCTTGGGGAGAACAACTGGAAAGAGAAAATGAAGCGTTGCTTCTCAACAGAAACAGACTCATTTGCCCGAAGGTCAGCAGAAAAAGTGAACGAAAACACAACAGCCCTCCAACGTACCTCTCAAAGTGAGGACTATTATTAGAAGCAAAATCAGGCCAAAGTGAACCGTAGTTTATCACTGGAGAAAAGCAGCCATTGCAAAGGGTCACGGGAGAGAAGCATGAGGGGGGGCATGTGATTTGCAGGTTATTTGCTTCTGGAAAAAGGCCCCCCAGAGGGCCCGCAGGGCAGAAAGGAGGGCGCGTCGGTTAGCCGCGGGGCTGCGGGGATGGACACCCGTGCCACCCAGCCTTTCCCCGACTTGACGTCCCCTCCACGGGTGATTCTCAGTCTCCTATGAAGTTCCCCTGCTGTACCAGATGCTGGTTGCCCGTGGCACCAAGACACTGGGGACAGTCAGCGCACACGGCTGGGAGAAGGCGGATCAGACAGGAACGGTGCCCACACGGGCCTTTAGCTTGTGCCTGCTGCGGCTGGGCTGCTGGGACTGAGCCTTGGGTCTGGATCCCCATGGACTCAGCCTTGGAGAGCTCTGCAGTGGCTGGCGGACGGCAGTTTAAGGAGTCAGGGGACTTCAGCCACTGGTGTTCCAAGGAGGCCTCGGGGCAGCTGGGCGTCTGCGTTGCGGGAAGGCAGCAGAGGTCAAAGGGCTGCTGTGGGGCAGCCCGAGAGGGCATCAGCAGAGCTCCCCCACGCCAAGGGGAGCATCTCCAGCCCCGAGAGGGAAACTCCCATCTCCTTGGCACTTTCAGGGCACAGGGTTAGCTGTGGGGCTGGGAAGTGGTACTGGGGGAGGGGTTGCTTGTTCCAAGTGGCAGAGCAGCTTAGAAAGCAAGTGCGGCTGTCCAGGCGACGGCGCACTGGCCCCTGGCGGGAGGTGCATGTTGTAGACTGCGGCAGCAACCAAGACGCCCTAACCCCTCACTCCACGAGAGGCCTGGCCGTCGCAGAGTTTGCTTTCTCCTTCGCCGTCGTCCTCTTTGCACAAATTCGGTGGCTCGGGGGCGGCCCTTTCTTTGGGACTCAGTCTTGATCTTTGCGCCACTTGGGGCCCGCGGGTGTGCGGGGCGCGGACCCGGGTCCCACCCGCGGGCTCCCGACCCTCTCCTCCGGAGCCCGGGCGCGGGCCGCGGCGCACGTGGACCCCCGGGCGGGGGCGGGGGCGGGGGGCACGAGCGAGCCGCGTGCGCCCGGGCTGCCTCGAGAGTTTATTTAAAACTCGGAAGCCGGCGGCCGGCGAGCGGCTTGTTTATGTCAACCCGGAAACAGCGGGGGGGCGGGGGAGGGGCGCGGGGGCGGGGGCGGGGGAGGGGCGCGGGCGGGAGTCACGTTACCCGGGGCCGCGGGGCCGGCGCCCGGCGCAGCCGAGCCGGAGCGGCGCGACCACAGGTGCCCGAGGCCAGGGCCGCGACCGGGCGCCGACCCGGACTCCGACCCGGGTCCACGCAGACCCGGGGCCGGTCCCTGACTAGGCCAGGACTCCGGCCCCGGAACCCCAGACCCCGACCTGACCGGGCCGAGACCTTGACCCCAGACCCTGGACCCCGAGCCCCTTTGCGGACCCCAGCCCCCACCTGGCCCGTCCCAACATGACGGGGCTGGAGGAGGACCAGGAGTTCGACTTCGATTTCCTTTTCGAGTTTAACCAGAGCGACGAAGGTACCGCCGCCGCCCCAGGTGGGTCCTCGCGGGGCCGGGAAGGGCATGGGGCGCCGACAAGGGGCGAGGGGCCCTCCCTGTGCTGTGTTTGAGGATGCAGGGCCGGAGGTGCACGCCCGGAGGGTGCAGGCCGGGGGGGGGGGGGGGGGGGCCCCCTGGGGGGGAGTATGGAGGTGCAGGGGTGGGGTGGGCAAGACCCTGGGGGTACAGGACCCCAGGGTGGAGAATGGAGGGGGTGGGTGGCGCCAGGTGTGGAGGGGCAGGCTCCGACCTGGGATGCAGGGGTGGGGGTGAGGTTCCACAGTGCAGGATCTGGAGGTGCAGGGGCAGGGGGGGGTCTGGGGTTGGCATGCAGGGGTCTGGGGTTGGCATGCAGGGGCCTGAGGTACAGGGGTGCAGAGTTCAGAGGTGCAGCCCCCCCGGGGGCATGCAGGGGTCTGGGCCTGGGGGTACAGGAAAGAGACTGAAGTCAGGAGTGGCTGGTTTGGGGGGTGGCCTTCCCCCTGGGGCACTGGGGAACTAAATGGGGTGGGGAATACAGGGGAGTTGTGGGTGGTGGGAAAGGCCAGCGCTCAGGTGTGTTGCTCAGCAGCCCATAGTGCAGACTCCAGGCGCCAGAGAGGCCAGGCCGCCTGCCTGTGGGTCACGAGTGTGTGGGGTCTGTCCAGTGGTCCTGCTGGAGGGGTGTCTCCCCCAGGGTGCTGGTGTGCTGCTGACGCCACAGGACACAAATGTCCAAGGCCCTGGACTTGGACGCTGTCGAGGGACAGGTGGTGAGCAGCCATTGCCAGAGGGCAGGGGGCCATGGAGCCCCTCCAGACCTGTCCCTGAGCACCCTCCCGCCCCTGGCCCCTCCCAGAAGCCGCAAGTAGAACCAGCCTTCAGGGGCTCAGAGCCTGTCTCTTTCATTTTCTTTTCTC